ACAGTGAAGCACGGAGTTGGCAGCATCATAACAACATTGTTCCAGTGAAGAGGCAGCTGGTTCATGAACAGAACAGTGGTTCTGAAGGAGTCCTTCAGGCTCATCTTGTGTTCTTTAATAAAACGTTACTCACACATCCAGCATGTGGCAGAAGGCCGCCACCTCCTCGTCTCTCTCCTCCGACACCTGGAACAGCTCATATCCAAACCCGTTCATCCTGGAGCCCAGAGACACCTGTCGACACAGAGCGGCCAATCAGAGCAGAGCTCCACTGATGACAGATGATGATGAAAAATAAAAACCTCAGCAGTCGTCTGGATTAGTGCTCAGTGACCTGAGAAAACAGCTAGCTGGGATTTTTGTTGACAGATTCTGGGATTAGATTTGAAATATGATTTTTTAAAGGCCGCTTTGGTTCAACATTCACTGTGTGATGGATTTAAACTGTGACGCAGCGCTGATCCCTGAACTTTGTCCCACAGTCTGCGGTTCTCTGCAGGAACCATCCCATCACCAGGTCTGACATTCAGCATTTCTACAAACATCACCTTCATGGCTTTTAAACCAACAGAGTCGTTCTTCTTATCACAGCCACGGCTCGCTCTGGTGTGAGTGACTGATGATCATGAAGCTGCATCAGGAAGTAGAACTTTAATAACTGTTCTGCAGTATTTACACTTCAACCCTTAAAAAATGTGACCTTCTCGTTAAAGGTGGAGTGAACCTGCAAACCACTCAGCTTCACCTGACACCCAAACCTAGTTTACCCTTTTCAAACCAACGAGCTTCGACCGCAGCCTGCTCTGTGAGGCATTTGGGGAACGTCGTAAATCATAGCATCCATCGATAAGAAACTGCTCATCCAGTCTGGTGTTCTGCCTGTGACCAGGTGGTGCCACCAGTGAACAGTTAGCCTGGACCCTGCAGCAGATTCAAATGTTCCAACTAAAGGTTAGTGTGAGTTTTATTTGTAAGGTCGTATGAAACGAGACTTGTCCAGAATCTGGTCTGGAGTTGGTGTTAGAACTGTACTCGGGTTGGGGTTAGAACTGGTTTAGGGTTCGGGTTAGAACTGGTCTCAGGTTGGTGTTGTGGCTAGAACTAGTCTCGGGTTGGTGTTAGAACTGGACTAGGGTTGAGGTGAGAACTGGTCTAGGGTTGGTGTTGTGGTTAAACTGGTCTTGAGTTGGTAATAGAACTGGACTAGGGTTAGGGTTAGAAATGGTCTAGGGTTAGGGTAAGAACCGGTCTTGGGTTGGTGTTAGAAATAGTCTAGGGTTGGTGTTGTGGTTCGAACTGGTCTGGGTTTAGGGTTAGAACTGGTCTAAGTTTGGGGTTCGAACTGGTCTAGGGTTGGGGTTAGAACTGGTTTAGGATTAGGTTTAGAACCGGTCTAAGGTTCGGGTTAGAACTGGCCTAGGATTGGGGTTAGAACTGGTCTCGGGTTGGTGTTGTGCTTTGAACTGGTATAGGATTAGTGTTAGAACTGGTCTAGGGTTGGTGTTGTGGTTAGAACTGGTCTAGGGTTGGTGTTGTGGTTAGAACTGGTCTGGGGTTGGTGATAGAA